TCTCCAGCCGCTCCACAAGGTCCAGTAATGAAATTATTTGTTTCTCAGAAAGTTTTCATGATATCATCTTGAAATTTTTATGGAAGCATTATGAGGTCATTTTTAGTCTCTGCCAATTTTCATCAAGATCTAACCAGAAACAAGAAAGATCGTTCCGAAAGGCCCGTCCCCCCTTAAGTAATCTGTTGCTACTACAATCCATCTTTTGTTCTTTTCTCTAATAATGATGTCAAAAACGAACCAAGCAGCTACATTCGTATTTGTTTGAACGAAGCTTCCAGTCTTCGACTCATCCATTGCAACCCGCTCGAAACCTGCAAGCCAATCTTCGGCGCCTTCATACGTGTTGCCGTGCAGAGACTCGGGGATCTGTGGTTCATCAAGGATGATGTGGGCCACAGCAGCAGGGGGTGTCATTTCTGTATTACTGTGAACAGCTGGTGCTTACCCTGAGGGATCACACACAAGAAGAAATTCGGGTGGCTCACCATGGAGATGACTGGTACGCTGGTGAACAGGTGTGAGCTCGTTAGGTTCTAGTCGACGTGGCTCTGGGCTTCCTTCTTCAACTGGAATCGGACTTGAGATCATTACCCAGCACCTCCACCAGAATTGTAACGGACAGGTCATCGGGAGGAACTATTTGTTCTGTGTTAACTAGTGAAACACAAGGCAAAACCAAGAAGCGTGCTATAGCTTACTCGAGCGGCTCGTAACTTCTTTCTCTTTTCTGGCCACAGTCCTCCACGATCTTATCTCGTGCACTGATTGTGTGTGTAGTGATGGCCAATTCTTGCAGCTACACAATTGTAGTCGATTCGAGTCGATTTGCGAAGGGTGCTCCTTTCAGATATTGTTCAAGAAAGCTGCGCAATGCCCGGCTGTCGTGTATACTCGCCGTGAATCCCGTGCATTGCTGAAAGTACCTGGTGCTGCTTTTTGCAAACGTTCACTTCATATTTGATCACTAATGCATGATATATTTTCATGAGGAGCTCTAGGCTGTACACTCTGTCGGTTCTTACTCATTGTGTCCAGCGAGGACACAGGCGAACTTTTATTTTTGGTGTCGTAGACATCTTATCATGCTTTTAGAAGTTGTGTCGTTCATACAGAAGGGCAATAAACTTTTCTTCTTCTTGTCGGACTACGTGTGTACATATTGTGTGGTGTGCACTCGCTGCGTGTCAGCTGTGTGCGCAACAAAATTACACACTTTACGAGCATGATCGCGTACTCAATACAGTGGTGTCCTCCTTTCGACGTGAAGTTACGTCACGCACTAGGGTGGTGTGGCACGGAATAGCTACTAAGCAGTCTGTTAAACTGTTAAAGTCGTGCAGTGCCACACTGACACCATATATTCGAGCAATGAACCGCTAATCCGCCTGTAGATCGGGCAACGACAAACGAAAACAAAGGCCTTATGCCCAACAGAACCCATAAGTCGCTGCCGGGTGAGTTCGAATATGATGATGCAGGGGCTGAATGTTTTTGATTACGGCACGTACAAGTGCTTTCTGTGCTGTTATACAAAAACTCCCCGAAGAATTTCAGCCCTCGGGCCTGCCACACACGAATAGTCTGGGAAACATGTGCTCGCAACATTATACAGCATGCAAACCACACAATTCGCGCGAAGTTTCCTTCGAAACTATATATCCGCGAAGAAGCGAATCAGCACCGAGAGCACGCCGGAGTGTCTGCTGTTTTGTTTGACCCATAAATTTAACGTCTCTTCCGCCACACTTCTCACAATGCACTGAAATATGATAAGGCCTCTCCTCAGTAATTCCTTCCTCCATGGGTAATGCTGAAATTGTAACAAGTGATCTATTGTATCATATAACTAATGATAGAATCATTGATTGAGATAAATGCTAGCCTCACTTAAAGAACTAGTGCTTGTTAGCGAAGAAACACCCAAGACCACGTGGGCTCAAGCTTCGGTGACCCTGAAGGCGCAGTTTTCTAATCGAGAAACCCGCACATGGTGAATGAAATGTGGGTGCTCTGAGCATGTTCTCATGAAAGAGAAAAGCATTCCAGCTGGCATAGGCAGACAAACCCCCTTGACAGCAACCCGCCCAAGGAGAGCGAGAAGGCTGAAGAATCACGACCCTCACTGCGTGCCAGTTGTGGTTTTGTGTGCACCCTGTGAAGTTGACAACACTCGCTTTTCTTGTGGAAGGGGCCTCTGTCTACATCATACTAATGGCGATGTTGCGAGGTACTGAAAACTCAGACGCTTACTTTGAAAGGCCCACTCACCAGGCCCCATATCAAATTTAGTTAGATCAAGAAAAAGCATTACGCCGCAATTTTTTTTTTTTTCAATCGGTTCATTAGGAGCTGAGATAACTGTTTTTTGAAGCGGTGTGAAAGGAAAATGCGAGAAGGCGAGCTCGAAACCGTTGCTGCTCACCTCGCGTAGCCTTCGCAAGCCAAATCTCTTCTTTACCCTCTCCAGCATACGACCAGTCACATGCGCATGACGTCCCCAAGCAAGCCAAACCCCCCGAGGATGCAAACAGCGTTCTTTTGTTGAACAGCGTTACTTTGTGATCTAGTGCCTGTTTCTGAGGAATGGATGCCTCGGTGCGCGCTCCTTTGGTTTAGAAGCGCTAGGATAGATGAGCACATTGAGTGGTAGAACACGCAGGACTATTAATTTCCTTTCCAGGGCTGGCGTCTGCTAGATGCACTAACTGTAAGGACACAAACACATGTGAAACGCAGGCACATTAACCCAACATCTCGCTACAAAAAGAATGAAAAAGACACGCACAATCCCTTATTACGTCTCATTATTTATCTCAAGTTTTGTTCATCTATTCAAGCAACAAATTACATAAACTACACCTGTCATTTTAAATATGTTAAGCCATGTCACGTGGCACTGTTGGCCACATCAGAGCACAGTCGTCTACGTAGAGGAAGGACGTCACAGCACTGCCGTGTACGTACGGCAATTCTTACGTAGACATCATGCCCTTATTCTCTAGGTGCGTGCCCACAAGAGGAAGGGAGAGCAGCATACATCTTGAAATTTTAACCCATTTCCGTGGCGTGTAGCTTTGCGAATTTCGGCAGACGTGATTATGAACGCACCATGTATGCATTGCGCTCGTCAGCTCAAAATTGTCAAACGTAGTGAAAAGCCCATTAAAACAAAATCAAGATATCTTTAGGGCAATGTTCATTACTGATAATTAGAGAAGTATCCGAGCACACAAGACTCTCAAACAGGACAAGCATCCCGAGTTTCCCATTTCAGGGGTCATTCAACGGCTACACTTTTTTTGCTGCATGAAGATAATCTGCAAGCTCCTTCTGTTACGAAGTCCTAATCTCGTTCATCTGTCGCATTATTGTGCAAATTCTACAACAACAAAAAATATACCTCGTCAGCAGCTGGGTCAACCAAACTCTACACATGCGACATGCGTACTTTGGTTTTGGCAGAGTGATGGCATGGCAGTCGTCAAACCACTCAACAGAGCTACATACAAACAAGTACTCATGCCACCCAACCACATCCTCACAAGAGGGAGCAGACAGTGCACTTGCATAATAAATAAATATGCTTGTAAGATTTCCTAAGTGAAAAGAAAAAAAACATACAACTGTGACATCCTTCAAATATTAAAAAAAAATATGTCCAGTTTTTAAACAATGGCAAGTACCGTATTTACTCGCACAATCCTCACATTTTTTTTGTGTGTGTGGAAAACCGATGCAAAGTTCGGAGGTGCGAGAATTACGCGGGGAAAACTTTCCACGAAAACGTACAGAGCGAAAAAGAAAACGAAGTGGCCGCAAATCATGATTCTCACACCAGGAACTAACAGCAAGCTTTGAGAAGTATTAACTAAAACTTACCTGAACAATAAAAGCACAGGTTCTACACAAGGCAAGATTTATTTGAGACACAAAAAGTGCAAGCAAGTAGTCGAGAATCAGAATACCATACGCAAAGCTTGTGGGCGTTGCGGGCGTGGCAGTAGCATTCGTTGCTCAACAGGAGCCCTCAAAAGGTAAGCGTAGGACGTCAGTATTGGGCTCATAACTCTTTAACAGAATCGTCTGCAGTTTCCTTCTGAAGAAATAAAGGTTACCATCAATCCCAGTTTTAGGCACACGGCAGGCCCAATGCGTCTTGGTGGCTTTCAACTGCCATAACCAGTAGCGAACACAAAACTCGTATGCTCCGAAAGGCCTACCGACAGCCCTGTTGCCGTTGTTTAGATCATGATCTATCACTTTCAACTTGAAAACAGCCGTGTAGCTTCAGTATCGCCCCATACCGTGACAAGATTACCGACACAACATGCAAGACACGCCGTAATGCGCACTTGCCACTTTGGCTTGGCTTAAATTGGATTGAGTTTCTATGCAATAATAGCACGCTTGAAGCTTAAGAGACGGCGCCAGATGGCGCGTGCTATCATCATCAGTGGCTGAAACAAGCAGACGACATTATTGCGGCAATTTTCGGGGGTGAGATGATTACTCGAGGAAAAAAGGAAATTGTATTTTTGTTGGGCGGTCTGGGGGTGCGAGAATTATGCGAGTGCCAGGATTACGCAAATAAATACGGTACTATAAAGCCTGCACTGCAGTGAGCATTGTTTTGGAAAGGGGGAGCTTATTTTGGAGCAGGACATCTAGCAGCAACACCAGAGAAAGCAGGGCTAGACCAAGTTTTGCAGGCCCCACCACGGTGGTCTAGTGGCTAAGGTACTCGGCTCCTGACCCGCAGGTCGCGGGATCAAATCCCGGCTATGGCGGCTGCATTTCCGATGGAGGCGGAAATGTTGTAGGCCCGACTCAGATTTGGGTGCACGTTAAAGAACCCCAGGTGGTCGAAATTTCCGGAGCCCTCCACTACGGCGTCTCTCATAATCATATATTGGTTTCGGGACGTTAAACTCCACAAATCAATCAATCAATCAATCAAGTTTTGCAGCACGCAAGTGAAGACACAGGCAGGCGCTCACCTAATGTATGGCCGGAACAGCTGGTAGAGTATTTTGACGAATCCGGTTGGGTGGACTAGATAGAGGGCCTTGAGGTTCTTTTTGTACCTGGGTCCAAAACGGTACAATTTATGGGAAATTTATGGGACCGAACACATTCAATAGAGAAGAACAATCAATCAGTAAAAGCAACCTCAATGACTGCACCTTCAAAATCACCATAATCCACTGCAGGATAGAGGCTCCAATGATCCCACAGAATTCATACTAAAAACACAGGGTGTGCAACATGAATGAAAGAAAGAAGTTGCACCGCCACAAACGCCGTTGGCCTCAGTCCGTTCTCCACCCAATCGTTGAGATCCCCCGCGGCTTCTTTCTCGTGTCTGTGTTTTTTGCAAGCCCTGTCTTTTTAGAATGAATACTGAATGAAGCCAGCTCAACTCTCTGTCATCCTGAAAACTTCCAACTATAGCATCACTTCACAAAACTCTACAATTTCGCATTGTTGTTGATAATCTGTACTTCCCGTGAGATATCCTGATTATCCTTTTTTTTTTCTGTCTCTGTTCCAGTTTTCTCTCCTCTTCACGTACGGTTCTTGGTTACACAATGTATTCCTAAATGCCGTTGTCACACGGTGCTCAGCTCATTACGATTGAGCCCAGCTAGGATGGAATTTCAAAAATAGTCGTGTAACGGAACAAACTACGGCTAGAAAACTTGATCCAGATTAGGCATGATCACTAGCGAAAATGCTGCAAAGGCATTATTCTTTACTTTCTTGGTTATTCCTGAAGTATAGCCCTCCCAGCATGAGCGAGGCGGCGCGCTTATTTGGCCATTTTTTCAGCGAAATCCGGTCCCTCATCACCCCGTCCTTGACTGCGCTCCCTCAGCACGTTCACGTGCTCTGCACATGTCGTCAGGTTGCGTTGTACGTGCGGTCTCACATGTAAATTGCTCCAAAAATTTAAGATGTCAGAAATATAGAAAAGCATTTTCACTGAGTAAATGTCATCAAACAAAAGCTACTTATCATCACCTTTACGTGACAGAACAATTAAGTCTTCAAAGACTATGTGTTTGAGCGAGTACTGTCGATGGTCAACGGCCACATTTCCAGGACATGAATAGTGAGGTGACTGCGCAAAGTCTATGTTTATGAGTCTATGTCTATGAGGTGACTGCGTGACTATGTCAATGAGGTGACTGCACAAAGTCTATGAAACGCACATTTGTTACGGAGTCTGCTCGCAGCTGTCGGCAAACAACCACCACGCTTCTGTTGGCATTCGATTGCTTGAATCACAATGGCACGGGATCACAATGGCACGGGATCACAATGGCATGACTGACAATGATCGTACAAGTGTGAAAAATGTTGCTTTTCCGAATAAGTAGGCATGTTCTTTCATACCTGTGTTGATACAGGGGCTAGTCTGTCCTATGTACATATTTACAAAGTTTTAGCAGAATTCGATGTACAACCCCTTCACGGCATTTCTTGAACTCGATTCTTGTTCTAAGCCATAGCTGCATTTTCTTTCCCTCGTTTTAAACTTTTTGCCAATGGCCTGGCACCAATAATATGCCTTAATAGGAGCACTGCCATAGGTTCATTAACTTTCTCTTGGATTAAAAAAAAAAAGCTTGCCAGGAGGTATGGCATTAAAGATGTTTTCAGAATGACTGTTCTCTGAGAATGAATTTTCTGGCCCATAAGGCTGTTAGTCGAGTGATATCTCTGGAACTGTTCGTCTGAATGTATTATTGTGCATATTCATAGATTATCCAAACAAAGACAAAATTTATTAAATTATTTGTGTCTGTAATTCGTGATAATTAAAATTTCATTGATAAAAGCCAAATGAAGAACACTGAATCCAGTGCTATGCTAAAATTTTTCAGCAAGGATATCAAAAAAAAGCTCTATTTTAGTGGAGAACCCATACAGGAACCATCATAGTGAATTTCACAGTGCTAGCATACTCACCAGAACCTGACTCAGAAACCCATGTGAATTATCCTGATAAATTACTGTACTTGGGAGCCAATGAACATAGGTGAGCAAAACTGATGGAGGTCACTCAGAGTCGCTCATAAAATACATTTTGAGCTTTGGACTTACTCGGACTCAGACTCACAAAAATGTTCGTTAGACGGACTCACTCAGACAGGGACTCACGGCTCAATTCGAGTCTGAGTGAGTCCAAGTGGGTCAACTCATATGAGTCCGATACCCTAGAATCAGCTTCTACGAACATGGCGTCAGTACTCTTTCACATCAATATCTCATGTAATTTCTGCTAATCTTGGCACCATTTGGTATCTTCGTAAACAAGCTTTGAGTGCTTGAAAATCAGTAAGGTTGTTTTTCTTGGAATAGATGACAAGAATTTCTTACAAGTAACAACAAGATACGTTATCAAGAACTTCCCTTGAAAAGTCGTGGGGCGAGAGGTCAAAGCACCCCCTACGGAAATCGTGCCCTTGGTAAAAAAGAATTGCGAAAACATCTATGAACAAAACTGCTTTGGAACACCCATGAGTAAACTTTAGTATAAACAAAAATGCAGGTGAGGCTGATAGTAGATAAACCTGCTTATAACGAACATCCATATAATGAATTCCTGGATATAAGGAAGTTTTTCTATTCTCCGCCGTTGCTTCATAGAAACACATGTACTTGCGACCTCTATGTAACAAAGTAACAATGGCAGACAACCTTGATATAACGATTTTCTCCCACAACAACCTAGGAATTCTGACTTTGGGAAGGCGTCGTACTGCGATAAAAAAATAAATGTTCCTGTAAAGACCGGCATAGTCCACATGCAGCTGTGACCACGGTTCTCCGTGAACTGCCAGGGCATGACAGGCACCGGTCGTGACACTTTTTGATGCTCCTGGCAAAGACGGCACTTTTGAACGGTTATCGCTATATTGTTATCCAAAATACGCCACCACACATGGCTACACGTAACTTCCTTCATTTTGGACAGTCCTAAATAACTCTCATGCAGCAACTAGAGGACTTCCCTTTGTAATGATTTTGGAACAATGACTCTGTTGCCCCACAATAGACAGTTCCCTTGCACACTCATTCATGAAAGTGCATTCCCTAGGGTCTTCCCTCTGACCCTAGGTTTATCTGGCAGCCTGACCACAACGATGCTCGTACTTGCGACAGCACCGGGTCTCTGTAGGAGGCTGCCGCAGCGGCATTTGACGACAACCCTCTGGGTATACTCCTTTCAGCATAAACACTACGGCAGGGCAGTGAACAACAATTTCGGCAGTTGGCAGAGGTTGCCGGCTTAACCATCAACATGAGCAATTTGTGAACCCGGCCTACACTTCAAGTTGTAACTGTACCTCGAAAACAGCAAGGCCCACCAACAAGGCCCACCAGTTCGAGCAGCTGTATGTGGTCTGTGACGGCCTCGAAATGCCGGCCCCACAAGTACTGCCTGAACTTTGTAACGCCAAACACAAAGCTTGATGTCTCCTCATCTACTTGACCGTAGTTTTCTCCGCAGTTGCCAGGATGCGGGAGGCACAACCAATGGGGCGCTCTTCTTTGGATGGATCTCCTTGAGCGAGTACTGCTCCAATACTGAAAGGAGATGCAGCAGTGATAAGACAGTTGGCTTTCCTGGGTCGAAGTGCACCAGTATAGCAGCAGAGGCCCATGGCTTCTTGCTTCTTCCAAAATGCCAGCTCTTCATCAGTTTCCCAGAGCCATGGTGTTCCCGATGCCAACAAACTATTGAGCGGCTGTAACACAAAAGAAAGGCTTGACAAACACTTTTTGTAGAAATTAAACAACCCGAGGTAACTCTGAAGTTCCTTCACCGCTCAGGGTGCGGGGGCTTCCAGCACTGCTTCAGCTTTAGCTGAATTTGGATGCAGCCCAGTCGAACTAATGATATGGCCTAAGTACTGGAGTTCCAGTTTAAAGGATTGGCATTTGGATAACATCAGTCGCAGTCCCACAGTTTTCAGGCGATTCAACACTCGGCCCTAATTTTTCCAATGCTCTTTGTCACAGGTTCCTGTGACCAGATTATCGTCAAAGTACACTGACATGGTCAAGGTCGTGGAAAAGATTTTCCATCTCTCTTTGAAATATATAACGGAGCTGATGAAACACCAAACAGCAGCCTTGTGAATTGGTTTAACCCTCTCAGAGAGTTAATGGTGACTAGCTTTTGGCACTCTTCATCGAGTGGGATCTGCTGATAGGCGTCTTGCAAGCCAAGTTTTGTGAACTTCTTGCCCCCTGAAAGCCGCGCAAAAGGTTCCTCAATCGTAGGACTTGACGACTGTCACCGTGTTTATGGTAGTCTTAAAATCGCCGCAGACTGGGACCTGGCTGTCGCGCTTCAATACAGGGACGATGGGCACGACCCACTGTAAAAATTTCACCGGTTTGATAATGCCTTCCCGTTCCATCTTCAGTAGTTTTCATAAACCCGATCACGCAAAGCAAATGGTATCAGATGTGTCCTGACGAAAAGTGGCTTTACGCCCTTTTGTACGGATATAGAAGCTGCATCGCCGTGAAACGTGCCAAGCTGCTTCGAAAAAACTTTGTGATATTCGCTTACCAGGTACTCCGTCCGTCTGAGCAATGCCTAGCTTGAAGGCCTTCTTCCAGCTTCGTCCTAACGACGTAGGACACGCCCTTTTCATGACAAGTGGTGGTAGCTCCTTATCGCCAAATTTGACAATTGCTTCTAGCTTTCCCTGGACGCGTTTCATGTCGTAGAAAAAACTTCTCAGCTGCACACTGGATGGCTCCTACGGCACCGACGAAAAAAGCTCAGCAAACTTGCCATTACCTATGGTCGACACACTTGCGCCGATGTCGAACTCCATATTAAGCATTACGCCCTTAACTTCAATCACTATGCGCATTAACTCTGAGCTAGCTGTGTGAAGCGTTCACATATTGAAAACTTCGGCCTCTTCAGCAGAGACAGTGTTGCGCCCGAGAGTCCAGACGTAACGTCAGACCCTGTGCAAAGGCAATCTGTGTCAAGGCCAGCAAGTGAGCCCGCCTGATGCCATCATCTCAATGACGCCATCTAACCTGGCGCCGCCGGTGTGTCTTACGCAATGCACGGCGAGCTCCCTCAACCCACGGGCCTGATAGCAGCCCGATGACGCAATGGGCGCCATCCTGTCTGGCAAGTCTTACGCAATGCGTGGAAGCATCACTCGTCCATGGGTGCAACCCAGCGGTGGTTCCTTGCTGGAGGATTCTGACATCATGACCAGTGGCAGTTCTGACTGGACGTTGCTAACGTAAGTGATCACCCGGGGCATATAAAAAAAAGCCAAGCGGCGCGTCGCCAAGCGGCCGACGTATACGTCAGAGAGAAGATGACAGCGTTAGAGTGTCCAAAGACACCTCGGCTCTTCAAACCCTTTCGCTGTTGGCCCGGCCGATGACCTTGGCAGCGGCGAAATTCATAACAGCGGTGCCCTGCGAAACCGTGGCGTCAGGATTTCGTAACAACAGGCAGGTCACTCAAGTTGTTCATGCAGCTAGACCAGCTGCAAGTAGACTGGCTTCGGTCGAAACTTCTACTTCCCAGCTGAACTCAACAAACTGTTGCAAGATGCCCTTTTTGGCGACTGTGGTGACAAATCGTGCTACCGTGCCTACATCGAAGTGTAGGATGACCTCCACCGCAACGAAAGCAACAGCTATCATTCATTCCCGAGCCGACAATGTTCGCTTTCTCTGGAGCTTCGTCAGATAGTAGCTGTGCTTGCCGACAGCTCAATGCGCGTGAAGAGGGGTGCAACAGCCAAAACAGAATCTGGAGCTATTTCTAAATTTTCAAGAATTTGGAGCTAAAATCTAAATTGGAGCAGGTTACGGAGAAAAAAATATTTATTTTTTATTACGTAAGACCAAATTTGGGTAAGAATGAAAAAAAAAAGGCTACATTTAGAAAAAGAATTATGCACAGAGCATTCAAAATTCCCTAAATCGTGCAGAGTGAATATGTGCACTGCTATTGCAACAAAGGTAGCATTTTGAACCACCCCACTCAGCTAACAATGACAAAGTCCACATTAGCATTTGCCACGCTTGTCAAGTCCTTTAACAGCCTGAAGATTTAAATGTTGATCTGCAAAGCTGGCAACCTTGAGATTCGGGAAATTCATGAAACTGAAGGGTTGGGGGGGGGGGGGGGCAATAGAAAACTGGGGGACACATTTCCTTGATTTTTTTAGGGCTGCAGAAATGCCTTACAATGCTCCAAATGATTGCAAGTACCTTTTTTTTTTGACATCAGCGATCATATTAGTGCTCACAATTATGTGGCGTATGCATGCACGAGTAATTGAACAAGTTATGCTTTGTCCCGTGACTAGTGCTAACTGCCCCTTTTAAATCTTAAAACCCTTTTCCGCAGGCCATCGGTGTACGGCGGCGAAAGTGGTTTACAAGGCCTTCTGCACGAGTTAGTACAAGACCAAGAAATTTTCGAACTGCTACACCCCCTCCCCCCCCCCTTTTTTTTTTTTCACGATGGGGCTAGGCTTAGAGCACAACAACTCCGCTCGCTTGCAAGGCACATTTGTCTAGATAAAGTAACAAAGACAACAGCCCATTGGCCCGGCGACGGCACCAGATATCTATCACATGTGTCGTTGCTATGGCAACTAATGTGGTCGCCGACAATGCCAGTGTTCACAGCAAGTCCAGTTTGTTCGCGCAGTAATGATGGCCTACGCTTCCAGTATTAGTTCTTAACATGCTATGCACGCGTCTCATGGCGTTTTCTGTACATATCTTGTCTTGAAGTTGCATCGTCTTGCTGATAAATATCCACTTCGGTCAGCAGACCAATTTGTGTGCATTGTTGTTACTTTTTGTGGTTGATCGCGTTTCATGAGTGTCATGGCCTAATGAGTATATACGTACTATCTTACATTGTAGTTCAGGATTTGGGTCTGTGCGCCGGGATCCCTGAATCGATTAATTGCTGACGCTAACACAGGTGGCCAACGTTGCCTCTGTTTCTCACTGAAACTAGCGCAACTGAGAATATTTTGAGGTTGGTCAGGCGTTTTGGCTCAGCATGGCACAATATCGGTAAATGTCATGGTTTTGGCGCAGCTCGGCGCAAAAAATGGAGAATCGTATCAAATTGGCACGATTGGCGCAGCGGTTGCACCCCTGCGAAAATCTTAACGTGCAGCCTCCATAGCTACAACAATGTCCTTCGCAGTTTTTAAGGTTAAACATGTTTCAGCAGCCCTGTTTGCATGGTTACATCATTGATTCTGCCGACTATCTGGTTGGGCAAAATGCGATGTTGAAATGTTGTGAAATTGCAGTCTTTGGCTAATCTCTTCAACAAGACAATGTAGTCGCTTAAGGACTCCCCCCATTTTCGATGCCTCGAGAAAACATCATGAAACTTGCCACTACTTCTAATACGCATGGGGTGTTGTGCTTGCCAAGTGTGGTAAAAATTTCGGTCAGTCCTGCTTGGGTGGGCCTTCTTGGTGCAAGGAGGCATCGTAGCAGAGAATACTAAGCCTCTGGATCGCAGCATGTCAGGAATACAGCTGTCTGCTTGTCGCTCAGAATGCTGTTCGCGATGAAGTACAGCTCAGCCCGCTCACGTAATGCTGTTCGCAATGAAGTACAGCTCGGCCCGCTCATGGTATTTCGCCTACTCCGATGTACTTGGGTCAAACGAATCCAGCTTCCCAATGACAGGCATGACGACGTGTGATTGTGTTGTGCCGGTCTGGTTCATCTGTAGACCTCGTCGCCACTTGTGATAACCAGGTAGTACTGGGCTATGACTGTCGCCGGACCAAATCACACACACGTACGTTGGCGGGTTCCACACTGATTGGCTGGTCATGTGCGCCGTACTTATTTCGTTGCAAACATCGAGACCCCCGGGCGCCGGAACAGCGAACTAATCTTATCACAATAGTTATTTCGGAAGTGACTAATAAACGACGTTTTTCAGAAACTTGCAGATCCTAAACGGCACAACCATCAAAAATCGCACTGATCCTAAACGGCACAACCATCAAAAATCGCACTACTTAGTGATGTTCTTGCATCCGTTCCGTGTTCACTGGTCGCAATATAATCAAGGCAGCTGCAAGCGGAAGTTCAGTTATGAGATTACAATAGCGCGCCGAACTTGTCGCGAACATCCAAACACTCTTTTCAGACCAACTGTGATAGCATCTTGTTGGACCCGCTGCTTATGAGCACTCTGACCTTGGGACGAAGACCACTGCGGGACAACTCTTTATACTCACAATCGAACATGACATAATTTGAAACATCGGAAACCGTGACCACACGCATTGCAACTGAGATTTCTGCTCAGTCATGGCTAGGCCTAACTTCCCTTTGCAGGCAAGACCATCGTGTCAGCGGACATGCGAAAGAGAAAAAGCCGTAACAGGCTTTGTCCAAATCGACAAATTACATCGTCCGCTGGCTCCTGAAAACCGTGTATGGGCATTTTACACATCGGCGGCAGACCCCCAGGCCAACTTGGTATGTAGCAACCACCTGTGGCAGCGGCTAGCAATTTTACGTGTTGGCGCCCCATACCACAGGGCCAAGGATGCTGCACGCTGGCTTTCCGCCACCTTAGATAGACATAACTGACCATTAACAGACTGCGAATCGGCGGCCTTCATTTTTAAATAGATAAGTCAGTCTTTGCAGCGTGCTGTTTTCGTGCTGAACGTCTGTCGATATTTGAGTCGGAAGTTGCTGAATTTGGGACATCCGTTGTAAAAAAGTCCGCTGTAAGGGAGTCTTTACCACAATACTGGCCTCACATTTTAGTGAATTATATCTGGAAGTTCGTTGTATGAGAATCCGTAGTAAATGAACCTCAATCAATCTAACAAATAAGGTGGCCGACATAACGACACTGATTCGTATGTTGTATTCAAAGATTTGTTGTAAGCAAATCTGTTGTAACAAGGTTATATACTGTATAAGCATGAGTGCATCTGGTAGACAAAAATATTGGCGAGTCTAAGTTAGTCATAAGATAAAAAAAATACCTACTGGGCGAGTCTGAGTGGACTCCATTTACTTTGCCGAACTATAAATGAGAGTGTGTTTTTTTTTCTCTTCGTGCAACATGCATGCGAAACAAATGGTGGGAGCAAGCCATGAGGCAAACTACGAGGCCTCGTACTTGCGGTCAAATGCGCGGAATGCGGTCCAAAGCCAGCCCAGGGACGGCTTGTTCTTGCTGTTGAGGCCATGGTGGAAGTAGACCAACGTGTAGTCACTCTCTACAAACTGGTCCAGGGTGTGCATCAGGTACCTGCACCAACATCACCTTTTGTAACAGTTAACATGTGGGAACGTGTCTTAGCGAGAATCAAAATGTCTCCGCAGTTGCGTGATTTAAACAATCACTTTGAGCAAGGTGAGAAAACTTATGCTGCAGCGCTGGCCTCTATAATGCACAAATTATGCTTTGATTCGAGTTGAAGTGCATCTAAACAATGCATAAAATGTTTTGCAGCGCTATATACACATGACCTAGTCGGAGAGCCATGATTTTTAAAGAAGCAGTGCACAATATAACACAATGATGCCCAGATAAAAAGACGCAAACCCAGGCACTGTGCACAAAACCTTTTTTCTTGTGTTTTCTAGGCATTTTCCCAGTCCAGACAGCCTCGCCCTTTTTTGTAAGGCTTCCGAGCCTGTGAAAATATACTAGGTTCAACACAACCCAATCTCTTCACTGCTGTATGTTATTTGGCTTGTACAGGAACACGAACACACTGGCCCAGCAAAAAGTCTACACTTGTTCACCAATTGTTGTTTCTTTTTGCAGCAGTGCAAGACATTTAACGTGTGACAGTTTATACGGTCACCTGCTGCAGTGTCAGGAAAATTCTGAGAAACTTGTGCGCTGCTCACACAGTGCAGGAACACTTCCTGTCCATTTGTGAGTTGGCTGTGCTGTGAGATTTCCTTGAGAAGCTGCACTGATTGCAACCATACACAGTTTGCTGCACATCTTTCCTTCGGCCTATGCAGTAAGAGCAGTGCTTTTCTCATTTCTGTGGATGACATGCACTTGAACCCATCACTCCCACGCAGGCAGCAGCAGCGAGTGCATGAAAAACATGCGGTCGAAACTACAGGGTACTGCAGAGCTTAAAAACCCTGATCATTACCGGATCGTATCTTGTAATTGCACATTTCTAGGCAGCTGCCGCTATGTTGTGTTCATTTTGCTTGTACATGTAGGTATGATGCCAAATAAATATAATAATAAGATGGCATGCGCACTACAGTAGGCTCACGTTAAGACAAAATTGAAGGGACCACAGTCATTTGTTCACGTCTTATGAAACGTGCCCCCAAAAATAAATGCTAACATGCCAAGCACATCCAAATATGTTGCTTGCAAACACTAATTGGAGTATACTTAGATTAGAGAGGAATGGAACAAAAAAATGCATCAACTGTACACCATTATCCCTGAATAAAGACACTACATAATTAAATGCACGCACGAGATGTCCAGTTTCTTTCCTTTTCAGGGATAATGACCTTTGCTAAATGCAATCGGATAAGGAAGATAGTTTCGTGATTTTGTCTACAACTGTCTTTACTGAAAAAGAAGCCTAGCAGGCTGTTAATAGGAACTTCAATAGTGTAAAAGTGAGCCTGGCAAAACAGAAGAATGCCAGCAAACTTTAACAAGTTGTCGTTGAACATTTGTCAAAGCATATTTCCAAGTCCAAAGCTTAATAGATTTTTTCAGCACTAAGACGCACAAAATGGATATCCCTTTCCGAATATTGATTAGTAAGCGGGGCGCTTGGCAACAGGATGTTACAGTAAAATTTCGGTATAACAAACTTCAAGGTACCGCGGAAATTTGTTCGTTATTTCGAAAGGTCGTTATAGGGAAAGCCTAAAAATTATCCATAAATACTTATTTTCCACTGACCAAAACGACTTATTTTTACAACGGTGGGTCCTTAAGGAAACGTTTTACACGATAAAAAGTAAATGCGCGAGTGGACAATAAGAAATGCACGTTTCCTTAAAGTCTGTAATTAGTTTTTTTGCTTTTTTTCTTACACGTGCAGCACAAACTTTGCAGCGCGAAGGGCTCTAGCTCATCCACATTCTCCTTAGGGAAAACTATTTCCACTTCTTCGTCGCAAAAAGAGATGAACTCACAGTAGCACCACAGCGCGAACGCCGACTTGATTTGCGGACGCGATAAGTAATCACCGTACTTACATGACGATAAGTAATCATGATTGACAAGGCCTCCTCAGAGAACACCTACTAACCCTTTGGCCTCCTAGATCACATGTAGAAGTGACAAAGATAAGAAAACCTGAAGCTTCCTGCCTGTCATCGTTTCTTCCGAAGAAAAGAAAGAGCTAAAAAAGAAAATTCCTCGCGTTTCGTTTTCTGTTCCCTCGCTGTCTCAGGTTTTCCGCGCCCATGCTTTCTGCTCTGGAACTCCCACTCAGCCTCACTGACCTTGCCATCGCCCCTCACCTCTGTGACTGTAAACCTGCAGCGTCGGCGCTTATATAATAAAAAAAAAAGTCATCTTTTTGTTGTTTTTGTTTTGTTTTTTTTTTTCCTTCACATTGCCACGTGTCTTTTGAGAAGCAAGGTGTTCGTTCGATGTGTCGCCTACTTGGGCACCACTCTGGTGCACGCGACAGATTTCAGAACACTATTTCAAGATACTGAGGCATCGTTAATGTAATGCAGAGCTAAATTAGCCCTCGTTATTCTGAAAAGTTCGGTATCCTGAACGTAGTAGTGAAATAACCTTACATTGAAACTACTAGCAGTCAGCGCAGGATTTTTCAAAAGTTTGTTAATCTGAAAAGTTCGTTAATGTGATGTTCGTTCTACCGAAATTTTACTGTAGTGGCTCTCCGTTAATGTCACAAAAGTGCCTTTTTGTTAACGACCCTTCACTGATAAGAAATTCTGATCAAGTTATGAAGTTTTTTCGTCGGAAAGATAACTCAAGATATGTTTTTTTTGTTGATGTGAATGATCTTCTTTATTCAGTTCCACATCCTGAGCTCTTTGCTGCAGTTAAGTTGTACATTGAAGAAAGTGGCGAGGATGATTTTGTTGCTCGTGCTGAAATGTCAGTACCTCATTTCATTACTGTTCTAGAGTACCTCAAAAGTACTTTCGTTTTTTTCGATGGTGGCATACACATAGTATTTGCAAAAGAAGGGCATCTGTATCGGGTCCAGTGTAGCGCCAATTTTATGTGACATTTTTTTCATTACTCATTGGCCAGGCACTACAGCGTGTTTCTAATTCACCACATCCATTTTATGTTTTAAAATATGTTGACGATTTTTTAATTGTTTTAAACAAGACGTGCCCTGCGCCCTACCATGAAATGGTGGACTTCACTTTAAATGCCTTTAAGGGGAGAGACGGGTATGGGAGACCGAAAATTTTCCAAAAAAACGATTTTTTGAAGTATTTTTTTTCATAATCATTAAGGTCTCAGGAAGCTGCTCCTAAAATATTATAGCCCTGTAATGCGTATTTGTTGAGTTATTGGGTCGCAAAGTCAGTTTGACGACCATTTTCGCTTCCGAAACTACCTCAAAAACGGTCGTATTCAACGCCGCAGCGCGCGAGAACCGCACCAAGTAGCGCGGCCATTTCGGTCTCATTTTAAAGACGCATTTTTCTACTATCTGTTCCTAGCAGAAGAACGTTTTTCGTCTAGCAACAACGCAGCTATCGCATATAAAGAAAAACTGATTACTCGCACATCATTGGTGCGTTTTTGTCACGTGGGGCAGTTCCCGGTTTTCCTATTGGGCGCGAAGGGATTCGTCTGCTAGACAGCGGCGTGCAAGCCCCCATTTTGCGTAAAGGCCTAACAACGGCTGTGCATTCGGTGCAATGGCAGGCGGTCATCGGAAGTTCCGGAGTGCTCATGCGTTTCTGAAAAAGGCGAAAACGGCGTCCGAGAGCCTGCACCTTATCACCAACGAGACCTTCTACCGCCGAGAACTCGGAAGAAGCAGGCTGTGCCAGCGCTATCACCGCCGCGGCACTCGCGATCACGAACGCGATAGCCACGTCCCAAGATCACACGAGAGCTGTGCGCGTCGACACTCCCCTGGTTTCCGACACTGAAAAAGTGGCCATCGAGTGTCGTGCGAGCGATGTTCTGCAAGATCTTTCATCGAAGTCTGCCAAAAAACGCAAGCGGTCTTTTTTTCGAGACTCGGATGGAGCCGCAACGCCTGGTACGCCGTTCACCGTCGTTAGCTTAGAGTTGGTCAACGAACTTCTTCAGTGTATGAAGTGCGGTGTGTGTGGCGGGCCTGGCAGAATCTTCAAGGAAGACCGCGAATATGGCATAGCCGCGAAACTTGTTCTCACATGTGACGAGTGCGGTAAACTGAGGACCGTATGGAGCTCGTTGAGAGCAGGGGGGGGGACGCAGAGCACGGCCCCTTCGAAATTACCGTGCTCGCGGTTCGCGCGGCAATGAGCACAGGAAACGGGCAAACTGCGCTCAACGATATTTTTTCCGCCCTAAATATTTCACGGAGAGGCCTTCACAAGACATACCAGGATTATGTGAAATTGAAAATGAACCCTGCCGCGCATAAGGCTGCCGCGCGCGTTATTGACGACTGCGCGGGCACCGTGAAAACGGTGTATTACAAACTCAACTATAGAAATCCTGGAAATATCGCCGCTTCCTTTGATGGGACTTGGCTGACCAGGGTCCACTCATCCCATATTTGTGTAGGGACCGTGATTGAACTATTCACGGGTTATGTGCTCAACTTCGTCGTTCTATCGAACTTTTGTTTGGGCTGCCAGCTAGGGCCGAAGGAGGACAACCCAAGTACAACAAGGCTCTTGCCAAGCAGGAGACTCCTCCGAATCATCGCTACAACCTGCAGGAGTATGTGGTTGATGCCTTGCGGCCTATTTACACGCGCCTCTCTGACAAGAAAAGGCTGGAGCGTTGTCAGCGAGGCAAAACACAGAACCCAAACGAGAGCCTGCACACCGTCATCTGGTCGCTCGTGTCCAAAAACAAACACGCGTCGCTTTTCACCGTTGAAGCTGCTGTGGCCGAAGCTGTCGCAAGGTTCAACGCTGGCAAAGGGAGAGCAGATGGCGCCATATTGAAGGAGCTGCACCTGCAGCAGAGTGTTGTGGCCGCTGAAAAATGCTTAGAAAAGGACAGTCGCCAACTAGTGGCATCGAAGAAGAAGCATGAGCATGCTGAAAACTTCAAGCATGCCATGAAAAGAAAGCGCACCAAGG